TAAGTAAGTAAACATAAAAGTAAAATAGTTGCAAATTAGCATATGAATTAAATAACATTGCTTGCCAGCACTGCAAATCGTTTCTCGACGTCTGCAAATTTTATTCACACTCTTCAAACAGACAAAGACTCAGAGAGCAACCGATTCTATAGGTACTTCGATGACTTCGTTCGGGATCGTCTAGCATATCAATTGCGTTCGTGAGTTGAGAGTGTGCATATGTATGCGAGTGTGAAGACCCTCTGCATTCGCTCTTCAGCTATTTGCTCACCTTTTGTCGTCATGGGAAACGAATCAATCGTATGTCTCCTTAAATAGTCTTTGTGAAAAAAAGCGTTATACGAATAGTTCGACTCAATGAGCTCAAAAGAAGAAAGCTCTTGCTCATATCGCAAGGGAATATGCTTTCTTTGAATGACTTTGAACAGAGCTCAAATCATAAATCTGTTGAGAGATTTATTTGCGAGCTAGGAGTAAACATTAGGATATTTTGATTACCTATCTAAATCAAAATATCCTACTAACTTATTAGTTTACAAATTTCCCACCACATGAACCAAATCAAATATCATAATATATAATAATAAATATTAAAGCATAATAATTAATAATATAACTGTATTTATCTAGCCATATATCGAACATAAAAAAACCACAAAGTACTCACATAACATTTTTTGTTCACGAAAAATCACTGAAAAATTCAATAAATAATTTCCAATTGCATTTCAAGCAATTTTCACTTTTCACTTGTGTTGAGAGCTGCAAAGAGAAAAAAAAAAAAAACAAAACGAAAGATAATAATGAATATTGTACTGAATAAGGAAGTCAGGTGCATAATTGAGTGCAAAGCAGGTGCTAATTAGCAAGTGGTAAGTAATATCTATTATAGAGCAAAAGTTCGCTTTGACTCGGGATTGGCTTTGGGCTATGGGGGTGGAGGCGGAGGCGGGGCAACTTCAATTCTGTTGTGTTATGCCCTGAGGGATTGCGCCGAGCTCTTGAAGTAACAAACTTTTAGTTTGGCTTTCGAAGAAGCGAATAACAAAAACAAATGTTTACAATATTTCACATGTATTTAGTTTAGCGTAACTTAAAGAATGGCCAAAGTTAAATGTATTATTCGATTATGCGAGTTTATGTAGAAAAAGAACAACAACAATAACAACAGCAGCAAATGGCAAACTTTTTGCATAGAAAAGCTATTTGGCAGCAAATATTTGCCTGAGCATATATATACATATGTATGTATATACGAATATGTATTTATTTGCCAACCACTTTTGCCAAATTATGACTGCCCCGCAAAGCCACCTTGCAGCGGCCTGTGTACGTGTGTGTGTGTGTGTGTGTGTGCGTGTATGTGTGTGTTTTTATTTTCTCACAAACTATGGCTGTAAGTTGCCATGACAGCCATGCCACATTATACAACAAGTGCTCGAAATAATAAAGTTAACAGCACTTTAATAGTTAGCTCGAAACGCCCCCCCCCAGGCCCGGTGGCAAGTGGCAGACGCCCACAAAAGATTGGACTTGGGATACGAATCGAAATGCTGGCAGAGAGAGAGAGAGAGAAAGAGAGAGAGACAAAGATAGAGAGAGAGGAACAGCAGAGACAGAGAAACAGGCAACGGCAACGGCAACATGTTGCCCGGCAACGGACATAAATGAGAGGGGCTTATCCTATCGAGCAGCAAAACTTGAGCAATAAAATTGCTTTTATACTTGGCTATACGAGTCTAATTCTCTCTCTCTCTCTCTCTCTCTCTCTCTCTCTCAAATATGCCTGGCATGCCCAACCAGCAACAGCGTCTACAGTCAGATAAATTTCTCCACTTTGATTTTGCGCTTAATAAAAGTCAAATTTAAATTCGGCTGACTACGCACTGCCTCTCACTCCGGTTCCCCTCGGCGGCAGCATGTGTGGAGCTGCTGCCGATGCTGCTCTAACAATGGTCGAAGCAGCAGGAGCAATTTTTATTGCCAGCCGATGACACGACTTCGTAGCTAGCAACACAGCTTTGGAATGTAATAAACTGGGTACGGACTTTTATGGCGTATACATAAAAGGAAATCAGAGAAGATGTAAGCAGCCAGCTACTCCAGCTACTCCAGCTACTCGAGCTATTCCGGCTGCCAAGTCAAAGAGTGGCCGCTGCACTCGAACAGGATTGGGGCGGGGCGTTCAAGTTAATGAGCCCTCTAGTGGGGCTGGTGGGGCGTATGCTTAACATCAGCAGCACCAACTGGCGCAAAAGGCAACCTCAAAGCGCTTATATAAATGCTGACGGGCTTGGATGGAGATGGGGATGGGCTAAATGGGGACGGAGCTGCGGGGTGCCGGATGCCCACCACGCCAAGAGCACCAAGCGGAAAGTTGTGCATAATTCAATTAACTAGAAACATGCAAATGAAAACTTTGCAGGCGACAAGGCCGCGGGCAGCAAAAGTGCAACCGAAATCCAAGGCGGGGCAGAGGGAGGAGGAGGAGGAGGACAAAGAGAGCTCAGTTCTGCTGTTGCTTTTAATGCTGCGTACAAATTGGACAACTCTCCAATGGAATTGCGTAAAAATATTTCTAATTATTTCAGAGGGCAGCGCAGAGCGCCTGGCAACGAGCTACTTGCTGCTCGCCCCGATGCCCGCTACTCGCCCGCTGCTCCTACTGTTGTTCGTCCGGCTGCTGCGCTGCGAGACTGCTTAGTCAACTATGCGTGTATATCAGAAATATGAAATGCAATAACGTAATGAGTAATTGCGCAAAAAGTAATAAAAGGACACGGCGCACAGTTACGCAAAAAGCAGCATGCAATCTGTTATGGATAACAAGGATACACGGCGCCGCCAGCAGCAATTATGGATGCGGTGGATGCGGATGCGGGCGAAACAAAAGTTGTCAACGACAGGCAAACTGGCAACCAGCTAACCAGCAACTGGCAACGGGCAACGGGCAACGGGCAACAAAGGCTAGCCTGGGGGTCAGCGCGGGCGTACGTGCAACGTGGTCACAACAGCAACAACAACAACAACAACAACAAACAACAAAAAGTAAAGTTGAAGCTCAGGTCACGAGTTGCTGCCGCGTGACTCTGGCTGAGCGCCGCTGCGCTCTGCCGCAGCTAGTTGGCTTGGACAAGTCGGGCCAGTGGACTCTGGGTTGAGTGGCTTCATCCGCCACCTCCTCCTCGTCCCATTGAAGAGGACATTTGGTGATGTGTGTGCGCCGCGTGCCTTGCTACCAAAAACGATATTAATTTCCCAAAGGTGCCGTTCACAGCCAGCGAAAATCACGCAGCATCAGCAGCAGCAACGGCAACAACAAAAACATTAAATAATAATAAAAATACGCACACACACACACACACACACACTGAGAGAGAAATTAAAAACTTTCAATAGCAACAATTTTCATTTAAAAATTCAACGCCAGGCACTGGGACAGCGACAATGCGGCCCCCAAAACGGTGGGCGGGCTTTGGGCGATGGGCGTGCACTGCTGTTGTTGCTGTTGCTGCTGTTGCTGATGGCCATTGAAGCGGCAAACAAAAGTGACAAACAGATTTATTAAAACTGTAAATCCGCATTGTTCGAGTAGTTTGTCTAACAGCAAACAACAAAAAGCAATAAAAACAATTTGAAACAATTTGTAGGCAACGGCCAGTTACCCTGCAATAGCATGTCAGCTACAAGCATGCACTTACCAATCAATTTAAATTGAATTGTGGTTTTTGGCACTTTGATCACTTAAAAAAAATAAAAACAAAAAAATTTCCCTCGTATTTATTTTATAAAGCCGCGCACTTGTGGCTGTAGCGCAGCCGACTTCATGCTGATCGCAACGCTGCCACATTATAATAAAAGTTGAGGTCGCCCTAATATTTATTTACATATACAATTGGAATTGTGGCAGCCTTAATTAGATTTGCGTTGCTCCAACAATAAATAAACATTTGATAAACATTTTTTAATATTATTAAATAAGACTTTAAGCAAGTTAACTATTTTTTTGCTTGCACACTTCTTGCAGGATCGCTGATTTGATCGCGTATTCAACTTGAAGTACACAACATTCTTATTGGGTTAACATAACTTCCAATTGGACTCTTATTGTGCGCTTCTTTGACGCTTATATAGCACAAAACCTCCATATTTACACAGCAACAAAAATATTTAAAAAATAATATTTTCACTATTTTTTTTAGTAAAAAATAATAAGGCGCAATTTGACTAACTAACTTTTCCCGCACAACTGACTCTTCTTCTTCATCCAACCACTTGTAGCGGTTGCGTTGCCAACTTCAAACTGATCGCAGCGTTGCCAGAGCTAGAAAAGCCAAGGTATTTTTAACTTCATTCGATGGCAGATTTAATTAATTTCATTGAATATTTATGCGACAATAAATGCATTGTGTTGGGGAAAATCAATAGCCCTTGGTGTGCATACGCTTCACGAGGTATGCTCCAAAAGTTGTTAGCCGCTTTAGGGGGCGTGTTGCAATTAAAACTATTTTGGCTAAAACAATATCGAAGCTGTTGCTATCGCTATCGTAGTTTTAGTTGTTGTTGGCCGTGCTGCTGCTGCATGTTGATGGCTGCCAACATTTCATTAGAGCGCCAACGGGGTTTTGTGCCCCGAGGTCAAACCACAGCATGCAACGGCAGCTGGGACTGGCGGACGGACAGGCAGATAGAGCGGCAGGGAAGACAAGGCAAAAGCTGATTACTTGCTGCATTGGCTGACAGGACATGGCAGGCGGGAGGCCAGGACTTGGACTTGGGCGCTGTTTCGCGCTTGATTCGCTGGCACGGCTGCCATTTGCCGTTTGTTGTTTATTTTGCGAGCGCTGTGAAATTGCAAAGCATGTCCTTTCGCCAGTAGGAGGGATACACTGACAAACACACACTTACACACAGAGAGAGATACGGCTATGCAATAAGGACGAGGTTAGCTGCACAGCAACAGCTGTTGGCAGCAGGAGCTTTCAAGAAAAAGCTGGGACTTTAATATTATGCCATTGCTGCTGCTGCTGCTGCTGCTGTTGGTCATAATAAATGCAAATTTATTGCCTTAACCCAAAGAAAATCAGTGTGGAAAACATTCTTAACATGGCTTCGCCTTGGGACTCAGCTCCTGCATGCCAAAGCCCGCGGACGGTGGCTCAGTTAACAAGCTAGTCAGGCCGGATCTGGGCTCAGAGGCGAAACGATCTCGGCGCGGTCCTGCTGGCGGCATTATGCCAGATTTCAATTCCGACAGCAGTTTCTCTGTCTCCGGCACATCCAGATCCTCGTAGAGATCATCGTTGACAGCAATTACGGGCCCATTGACGCAGGCGCCCATGCAGTAGGTGGCAGTCAGGGTGAACTGCATGTCCTTCGATGTTTCGCCATCCTTCAATTTCAATGCATTCTCACAGGTGCGCCATATGTCGTCGCTGCCACGCAGCCGACAGGGCGTGGTCATGCACACCTTCAGCCTGAACATGCCAATGGGACGCAGATTGAACATGGTATAGAAATTGGCCACCTCCCACACCACAAACGGCTCCAGCTTGAGCATCTCGGCCACGGCCTGGATCGCTGTGATGGGCAGCCAGCCATGCTGTCGCTGCGCCAGGTCGAGCAGGGGCAGCAGAGCTCCGCGTCGCTCCGGCTCCGGATAGGTGGATATCAAGAACTCAGCCCGCTTCTTGTTCTCCTCGTCGAACTCGAACTTAAGCTTCTCATACATGTTGCACGCGTCCAGCTTAAAGCGCGGCTCCGAGGCGCTCAAAGCGCGGATTGGCGGCGCCTGCAGCACCAGACGCGGCAGCTGATACAAGCGCAACAAATTGGCAAACATCTTGGGAATGTATATATGTACATATGTCTATAATTCTCTATGTATTATATGTATGTATGTGGTGTGCTTGCTTAATATTTGATTGGAGAGCAAAAGGAAAGGCAACCAACTGCTCGACACGAGCTGCAGCGCTTACCTAGCCTCTAGTTTAGTATTTCAATGTGATATTGAAATTGTCAGCGTTGCTATTATGTTCACATTATGTGAGTGTGTGTGTGTGTGTGTGTGAAATTGCAATCAAATTAGCAATGGAGTGGTATGTGAGTGGCATGCACTGTCATGGCAACAATCGTCATTTGATGCGTGTGACGGCAATAACTAACTCAAACAATATGTCAATCAGTGCCCGATCGGGTGCCCCAACGTGCTGAAAATTGCTCAAATTGTTCAAATTGCATGCCACGCCTAATTGGCAATATAGAGGCCGAGAGAGAGAGAGAGAGAGGGGGCGAGCGCCAAACAAGTGATGGAGCCACATAGAAGCCACAGCATCTGCCTTTCAGCAATAAAGACAGTGGAGAGAGAGAGGGTGAAAGGGAGAGAGGTAGGCGGACATGGAGAGGGTACTGTAGAGCAGTCAATCACTTTGATGGGCCGCCATTGTTATCAACACCTGTCCGTGCTCCAACACCTGAACCATTTGCCACATTCCTGCATTTTTACAGCTATTAAGAGGCGACGCTGACTATGACTCTGCCGCTGCCAGTGCTTCCCTCTCTCTCTCCCTACCTCACTCTCCCTTTCTCTTCACAAAAATCTCGTAAAATGTGTAATTCAGCAAAGTGTCTAATAAAAGTTTGCCAAAAGCGATAATCGATAATGGCTGCTCAGAATGCCATTGATTACAGATCACATGGTCTCGCAGCGCTATTAACCGAAAACAATTGAGAACATCCCACGCATGGAGCCCAATGAACCAGGTCTGACAATTAACTGCAAACAAGTGTTTAGATTCGATTGCGTCTATTATTGGACAAGGGATTATTAAGGTTAATAGTAGAATATATATATATATATATATATATATATATATATATATATATATATA